AAAAAAAAAAAAAAAAAAAAAAAAAAAAAAAAAAAAAAAAAAAAAAAAAAAAAAAACACTCCCGAGGGCCCACACAAACGGAGGCTCTGGCCGTACTCGCACTCTCTGGCCTGATCTATAGCCAAACCTGTATGCATCACACGGCAATCGCGTCCAGAGACAGAAAATATGTAAAAAGGCTCTGGGCGTACTCGCACTATCTGGCCCGATTTATAGCCAAACCTGGATGCATCTGAACGCAAACACGTCCATGTAGAACTCCTTGTGTGAGTATGCCCTCTGAGCACTCCGGCGCGGATCCCGCACGCTAAATAGGGCGTAGTCAGGTACAGCGCCTCGTGTTTTCCCGCCCTCTTTTCATTTTTTTTTTATTTTTTTTTTTTCAGGTACAGCGCCTTGCGCCACTGCAACAACATCCAAAATGTATCTGGACATATGTATTCAATATCCGGACAGTCGGAGCGTATATGTGGGCTATACAGTACATATACATGTCGGATGTTGAGTGGTGGAGCCAGACCCGCTCTTTCTTTTCGTTTTCCTTTTTTTGAGATATCGTCAGTTCTTTTAGATATCGTCATCGAGCTGACCGGTCCTAGGGCCAACTCCCACTTACGCTGATTCTTCATTTCTGGCCGTTGATCTTCCGAATCTACGGTCAGAAATTGAGATTTCGGGTAAGTGGGACTTGGTCATTCCGAATGTGAGTGGGGTTCGAACTCAGGTCTGTCCTCGAATGTTGAGCTAGGACAGTCTGTCTTTGCTTCTTTTTTATCTTTCTTTTCTTTTCTTTTTTTTCCTTTTTTCTTTTGAAAAGTTGCTTCTTTTTGCGATTCAACCCCGCATTTTTTTCTTTCTTGAGTTTCGGGGCCACAAGTCTTAGGGCGGGCAATGCGGGGCACGATTGGATGGGCGCGACTTACGGAGGAAAAGATGCTTGGGATATCCTTCCTTTTCTGAAAAACAAGGAAAAAAACGGCGATGGCGTTGAGGTATCATCATGGGCCTCTCTCGAAATGTGCAAAACGAGAGTGAATCTTCCGCTAGAATATGGAAAGCTACACCGCCAAGATTTTTGTCTTTTGTGCATGTCGAGAGAAGTGCAGCGAGGCCCCATATCATCATTGAATGCCCTCTTTCTTTTTCTTTTTTTTCTTTTCTTTTTTTGGAGTGTTGTGTATGTATTTCAGGACAAAGATTCTGAGGGGGGCCGGGGACCCACAAATCAACCCGGGGCAAGGTCCCACTTGCACTGATTTAGAGATGCTGGCCGTTGATCTTTGCTATCTACGGTCAATATCGCATAATTCGTGTAAGTGGGACCTAGCCCCCGGTCGAAACTCAGACAGCTTTAGCAAGCTTCGCTTTTTACGGGACCAAAAGGACGCCGTTCCCTTGAATACGGTTCTGTAGCATGAGTTATTCTTTTTTCTTTCTTTTTTTTTTTAAAGTGGAGGAGGAGGGGGGTAGCAAAGGATCATTTACAAAACTTTGGACCATTTCAACATGCTGGGTTGTTTCGGCTTATAGTGCATAATGCAGTCCCTACAGCTGCCTTTTTGTATCATCGTCGTAAGCAGGGGTCACCCTTCTGTGCAGCCTGTCTCGCAGGTCATTTAGTGGAGGATCAACATCACTTGTGGGTCACGTGTGCCAACGCTCGTGCTTTTTGGGCACAGTTCAAAGAAGCCTCTGTCATTCCTGATCATTGGGCAGACTTATGGTCACATGGGGCGATTTTGTTGGGAACTGCTTTTATAAGCCTCACTAAGCCACAGGCTTATGTTTATGAGACCATCAGAGCAACGGTGTTGTGGCATCTATGGCATCAGAGAAATGATATTGTCAGATCCAATGGCTCCTTCTCGACTCAACAAGTGCTTTACATGGTGAAAAGGATCTGAGGCACATTATCTGTTTGGATTGGGGCAAGAAGATCGGTAATGTGACGCCCAACCTCACGCCCAGCGCGACTTCCTGATCGGAGTGGAGTGTGGGCCTGGAAGTGCGAAAAGGGGTGTGCCAAGGATTTTTGGGAAAGTGGGGGTGGAGTCCCAGGTCAAAACTGAGATCTCCTGTGGCAGAGTTTTCGGGGGCACGGGTGCAATTTGGCAAAAAGGGCGGACCACTTCTGGTCATAAGGCAGATGGCATGCGCGGGTCATTCCAGACCTCGCGATCCATCGGTTTTGAGGGTGGCGATTCGTCGAAAAGTCCCTTCGGGGTGGGTGCGGCTCCGATGAGTCAGTCCGTCGGTTGTTGCCACGCGGCGCCGGCCGTCGTACGTTCTGATTGGGCCCTCGCGGTCCCGGGGTTCTCTGGTTGTCGCATTGTCGGCAATTTCCACAGGGCGTGTTGGGCCAGTAGCGGGCTATGGCTTTCCACCGGATGACCCTGAGCTGGTGATACGGGAGAAGAAGACGGAAGGGAGGGAAGTTAGTGGAGATAACGACAAATCCGGGGTGGGTGAAGTAGTGGGTGTGGTCCTGAGTAGGGAAATCAGAGCACCGGGGGTCGCTAGTGGTGGCGAAGTGAAACTCCCTAGGACACAGTCGATTCTCTATTAGGCAAGGGTATCTCTGTTGGAGGCTTTCCTCTATCCAAGGGGTGAAATAGTCTGGGTCGTACAACAACGACTCTGAGCTCTCGGAGTGTGTCATTATGTCATCGCAGAGCTGCGAGATGCTTAAGGGCGGGTCTGTGCCGCTTGCAATCACCGCGTGTGAGCACGTGCAGGCCGCGCGAATCGAGTCGTGCCTTACACGTGTTCACACGGGACGATTACTTCGTTGTTGACGCGGAGTGACCCCATCCAATCGTTCGTCGTCCTCATTAAGTGTGGTTTGGTCGCGAATCGCTATGCGGGGACACGTGTAAGTGTGCAAAGCAGATCGTACTTACGCGCGTCCCTACACAGCGTTCGCTGGTTTCTGGACTAACAGCTACCTCACTACCTACTCATCCCGTAATTTCCGAGTATGCAAAATGCAACGACCCCAACAGCTCGATCAAAAGATAAGCAGAAAGGAGAACAAGATTAACGACTGCACAAAATTCCTACCCTACTCACGAGTGCATCAAAGGCAGTAAACAAAGGCAAAGAAAAGGATCAGGTAGAAAGACAAGCAAACAAACATGACACCCATTCATCCATTCATTCATTCATACACCATATCCGAGATGGGAAATCGCAAGGACAAGTGTGAGCGAAAAACCAAGTCCAGATTTCGAAAAACAGAAATGGGCAAATCACCCGGAGCCGAAATCAAAATTTATATACACGAGACGGGAGGGAGAAAAGATAAAAGAAACAGCAAATCCGCGTCCATCAACCTCAATTCCCTCTTCCTCTCTCTCTCTCTCTTCGATGCGGACAGTCTGTCGTCGCGCACCAACCCACGAAGTCGTCACCCCGCTTAGTCCTCCCGCACCCATCAGGTTCGCCCGCGCCCACAGTCCGTTGTGGCCCGCGTCAACCCCGCGCGTTTGGCACCAGCTCGTCGGGTCGCCCGACTCCTGCTCTACTCACCTCTTACTTCGCTCGTGTGCCGACCCTCTCTGATCGTGCAACCCCGAGTTTCCGCTTAGCTGGTTAAGAGAGTTAACTAATCGCGCAACCGGAATTTGTAGCGTGCATGCATGCGCGAAGAACACGGAATTACAAGGACTTAGAAGGACGATTAGAGAAGGAACGCTTACGTTCTACATGGCCCAATCGCGGCATGGGGGACGTAGCCACTCTCCACGCATCGATCCAATCATGCAGAGCGCGACTACCAAAACTCAGCGAAAAGAAAGAGAAGAAGGGCGGGAAAGGCGAAGCACAAGAAGAAAAGATACATTTACAATGGCGCCCGCCCAAAATTACAGTTACACACACGATTAAAGGCGCCGACTAATCATA